ACTACCAGAATTTAAAATAAAAAAGGAGCATTTCAAGACAAATCCTTAATAATTTTTTTTTTGATAGAATAGTGGCCTCATTAAAAAACCCCTTCTAATCCTCCATGTTATGTGAGTAACATGAAGGATTAAGGAAGAAGGAAAAGAGTGCCTAGAAAATTTTATTCATAAAAACAATAATACATAGGTAGAGCCTAACAGACTCCAAAACCTCCAAATGAAGACATAAGACTAACTCCAAAACCTTGCAACACAGAATATAACATTTCCTACAAAACAACATAACCAATATAAACCAAGAATCACCCTATCCCATCTTTAGCTAGTTTATCAGCTTCCCAGTTTGCCGCCCTCAAAATATGCTTTACAATAATATCCTTTCTTGCCAACAGCACAACTATATCGTTCACCAAGGATAGAAACAAAGGGGGGCATAAGCCCGGATTCTTGATCCACTTCAAAGCATTAATTGAGTCAGTTTCCAGAATAAACCTCTTATTAAGAACATAACCTTGCTCTTCCATAAGACACAGCCCCCTCTTAATCGCCAACAACTCTGCAACTCTGCCATGATAGGAGGACCTCCCCCTACTGGTTCAGAGAACCACTGAAGCAACACACCTTTAGTATCCCGAACTGGAAAATAAAAAGCCGAGGTATGCGGGCATATAACATTAACAATCTGCCCCATTAATATTTTGGGGCTGCCTAAGTAAGAACATTGTAGGTAAAACTTAAAACACTACATATGGAATGGGGTTGACCATAAGCATGGTTGTCAAAACTAGACTGGACCAGACTTGTGGTTCAGCCAGTAGAACTGATGGGGTAAAACAAGAAATTGAGTGTATCGTTGTGAACTGCTAAAAACCCGGAAACCAGGCCAAAACCCCAGCAGTTCAACTGGTTGAACCGGTTTTAAAAAAGTTAATTTTTTTTTACCTTTTATTAGTTTTTCTGAATTTTTATTTAATTATTGTTGAACCAGCATTCAATAGGTTGAACCAGGAACCGGTTCGACCACCAGTCTGGTTCTTACAATATTGACTATAAGTATCATACATATTCACACTACAACAGGGAATTCTTATTTATACAAAATCATAATGCTAGTAGGAAACACATGACCAAGAAATTTTTAAAATATGTACAGCAGAAAAGTAGAAACATGATAAAACAGACATTTGAGATACTGGCATATATATTTCACACCTGTTTCCAAGTAGCACAATTCTAGTTCATCATATTCACGCAAGGCATCCTCATGAAGATGAGCCAATCTCAAATATAAACGCCAAGCTTTCCTAAGAAAAAGAAAATGAGGCCTTAATAGTCAGAGAAAATAAGAATAAAATGTATAGTTTTTGATAGCTTAATTAGGTTATATTCCACAAAGCAAAAAAAATAGACTTTTAAGTTAGGGCCTCTTGGGTAAGTTCATGTTTCTTTCCCAACCTTCTGAAAAACACTAGAAATGGAAAATCATAAAGTTTGTCCCTGGATCAATATCAACAATAGCCCTATTCAGTATTCACTAACTTTCAAGAGGACCAAACCTTCAAAATGAAAAAATTACAGAAGTTCCAGATTGGCATGAAACGCTGTTCACTAAGCTTCCGTATCTCGTCCTCATAGAACTGGATGCGTCTATCCAATGTATTTCTGACACACTCCATAATCCCGGCCTCTACGTCTTGCCAAAAATTTGCTTCAGGACCATGAACGTCAAATTTGCAGCACCTAAGTGGAGAATAATTTGGGTATCAGAAAATGACAAGGAAAAAAAACAGTTTCAATAAGGGTGCTACTTTTCAAACTTTCACCATATTGTCTTTTCCAAAGGTTTACAACATGGGTGAAACATCACCCAGTATCAAGTTCTTTGTTAAATGCAAAAAAAAATGCTTCACATACCAAGGAAACAAATCTTTAGGGCAGAATATAAAACCAAAAACACTATGAGGAGGGGGAAATCATAGCAAATTTGTGATATATTCTCTAACCATACTTTAGAATTAAAACCAACAGTTGAGTTCTAACTATACGGCATTATTTCAATGCTAAAGTCATTAGCACTAGCAGCAGCATAAATACTAGTCATGCCATCAATTAGAATATATATAAGCTGCAGAGAGCTGCAATCTTACCTTTCCCTCTTTTTGGAGCTGAACTCAACTTCAAATTTTGGCATATACTTTCTTTGCCATTTTAGTGGCATTATCATTGCTTGGATGGGCTCTAGAAACAAATACAATAAACCATTCACGCTCATCATTTTGGACAATTAATTTCAGGCGTGGCTTAAGAATGGTCTTGAACTCATCAAGATCCTGGGAAGAACAATGTGAATAAAACAAAAAGAAAAATGGAAAATGAACAAGGACAAAAAGATTAAGCCAAAAACTAATAAAAGAAAGGATGGAAGAGGAAAAAAAGGAAGTAGAAGTTACCAAGAAAAGTCTATCATCATGGAAACAAAAAGTTTGCCCAGACAACTTGGTATTATTATACAGGCTCACGTGAAGAATTATGATCCAAGTTATTAAGGAAGTCAAAGAACTATCTTTATTTTTTCTCAAAGTGTGGTCATGAATCTGAAAATTCATTGGTCTTTAATAAAAGATCATAAACTATATGAACTGTACCTCACATGTAACAAGAACCAGAGTTGCATATGGCTCTCGGAACCAAAATAAATATTGCTCCTGAGGAAATCTACTACGTAGTCTTGCATCAGTGGTTAATATGAATTCAGCCAGCAAATTCTCTACAAAAACGGGATTGCGGGTCTTGTTATTTAAGGAAGCTCTTTTGAATGGCAGCCGCTCTTCAAAACTATTCTTGACAGTAGGCCACAAGTCACTGACATCTTCAACTTTAATGCAGTTCATAGCAAAAATAAATAGTTAGAAATCTGTAGCTAGGAGAGAATCATAACAGATAGTTCTAACACATGGTTCACAAATTACTACTAAATACAAACAGTTAAAAAAGCGGCAAACTTTGGAGTTGACATATCAATATTTTATCGGCACTACATACTTCTAATCGATCCAAAAAGCAAAAGGATCAGCAAAAAATTTAAAGCAACAAAATCCACCAGAATATCATTGACATTGATACAAGCAAACGAAGCTAATAGCTGCTTCGATTAACTCACTGTAATTCTAACGAAATCTCCAGAAATAAAAATCAAAGTTCTAACTTCATAAAATTAACTAAGAAAGCTCAAAACAACGACATTTAGCACATGATCACCAACAATTATCCATTTCAACTAAACTCTTCACATTTAACCAATCCTTTATTTCAAAAATCATATTAAAATCTCAAAGTAGCAACAAATATCAATAACCTTTAGGATTTCCACATCAGAAATCTAGCAGTAAACACATCCCTGGTTCCACTCACCCAACAACATAAAAATTCCCAAAAAAAAAACCAAAGCTAAATTTGAAGAGTTCAATTCAAATTAAAAAGCAAAAAAAGGGATTTACCAGCAATGACGAGATGATCACACGTGCTCTTGATTGTTTGAAACTGAGCTAAATAGTTCGCCATTCTCTTTCTTCCTTTTCGATCTATAAGAAACTTGTAAAATCCATAGATCAAATGCAGAAATGTGAAGGAAAAAGGTTAAATTTTCATTCGAGTGTGAGATTCTGAGTGTTGGTTTCGCTTATGCTCCAATTCTCTCTCTCGATGGATTCTATTGTCCCGAGGATCTAGTGTTTACGCTTCGTCCTCCTCGTTAAGCTCTCCGATTTCTCCGAGTATTAGCTGGGGCTGATTAATGGCGTCGTCCATGTTTCAAACAGTTTTGTTTAGGCCCAATTAAATAGGCTTGAAAAATAAAGACTTTATTTTAAGCCCAAATTACCTCTCCTGCAAATGCCGTGTTTTATTTACACTGTAAATGAATTAAGCTTGAACAAACAATGTTAGATTCGTATTTTTTTTTAAGGTTTTTGTATTTGATTTGTATTCGTTTAAATTTTTAATATTATATTCGTTTATTTATTTTTAAAAGTGTTCATTTTCGTTGATTTATAGTCTGCGAATATGTTCACGAATGTGTTCATTTGGCGTTCACGAACATATTGTTTATTGTTTGTTTAGCATTTATTTGTTTATTGTTTGTTTATATATTCAATTTTTAGTTTTACCATTTCATTTGAAAAGCCACAATTCAAAATTCAATTTTTATCATGTGTTCAATCTAGTCTCTACCCTAACCAATATTTAAAATATAAAAAAAATAAAAGGAAAGGAGAACCGCGTAAGCGAGCTTGTTCATGAACATAAATGAACGAGTCGATAAACGAGCTTGTTGGTGAACTTAAACGAACCGAACACAACTCTATTTATGTTCGTTCATTATTAAATGAACATAAAAAAAATTTGACCATTCTCGATTATTTAGCTTAACGAACAAAACATAAATGAATGTTATACAAACAATTTATGAACAATTCACCTAACGTTCTATTCATTTACACCCCTAATTTCATTCTCTATATAAATCTGGAAATACTCCTCTAATTCGTTGAAGCATGTTTACGATGATTGAATTTAGTTGTATTCCTAATCTTTCTTGTAACGTCTTCAAATAAGAATTATTCCGAACTTGATTATTTTGGCCTGTGAAGATTCAATATATATATATTGAATCAATTATTTACATATGATTTATTGATTGATTAATTTAAATTAAATTTGATAAAAATTTATTATATGACGATCCTCTTTATTTAAATTATTAAATTTATAATCATTATGATTCGAATTTTTAATCTTAATTTATCATTTTGCTTGAATTCAAGGCAAGCGCATCAAACTGTTGGCTTTGGTTGCAAATGTGTTATTGCTTACCATATTATGATTTCAATATGGTTTACTTGGGGTGAAGCTAAAATGGTAAAATTGCTCTTAAGTCCTACTAAAAATAAAAAAAAAATTATAAATTAATATATTGGTAAAATTTCTAATTAATCATAAAATCATTTACACGATACTCTCTCTATATTCTCCAATTGATCATTAACTGCCCCTACTGTCAAAACTGCTAAAGAAAATTGAAAGGAAAAATAAAATTGTAGAACCTTAAGCCATAGACATATTAGAGAGCCTGCTTGGTGTGAGCTTGAAGTTCCTCCACCTGAGGGTCATCTTCCGATTTGGTGGTGGAGCCAATGCCCTCCTCAATACCTCCTTGTTAGCACCATATCTGCTCATGCTCTGCCTTGGCACCATGTAACCATGCCTCCTACAAGGTGCCAAACCCAGACGGCTCGAACTTGTACACCTCGAATGTCGACCTGAAGATGAAGATGCTGATCTCATGTAAGTTTTCCTGCTACCCGTTTTCTCCTCCGCAACGTCTCCGGCTGGTGCTGGAATTTCCGAGCCTTGTGTGGGTTGTCTCTCAAGGATGGTCAACTGCATATTGTGGAGTGGGTGAATTTAGGGCTGTTCATTCGGTTAATTTGGTGGCCGAACCGACCGAACTACCATTAACCGAATTAACCGATTTTTTTTCTTTAACTGTTAATCGAACCGAACTTTTTTTCGAAAATATTTACGGTTAATTTCCGAATTAACTGATTTTTTTAGAATTTTCGAATTTAATAGTTTTTTAATTAAAAAAATAGTTTACAATATCTAATTAATTTGATTCAAACATTATATTAAAATAAGATATTTGTATCTATCAATTTAGTTCAAACAAACCAACAAATTTGAAATTCTACAAAATAAATGGTGCATGAAGGTTGTGCTAACTGCAACTCGACAGCTACTATTGCAGTATTGCTAGGTGAAATGCTTGATTTTACTGATGCTACAATCAGGAAGATAGCTAACTCCTTTGTGCAGGACTTACTACACAAGCCTCTTGAACATGAAGTGGATGATGAAGGCAAGAAAGTTGCTTTGCAGTTTCAATAGCTTCTTCACTTGATATCTGTCGTCATACAAGTAACAATCATTACAACAAATAACGATAGCAATATGTGTGTGTGGAAGGAAAGCTACAAACGAAGACAGCTTATGCTCATAAATGTCAAATATGATCATATTTCTTTCCCAATAATCCTCTAATATATATATATACATATATATAAATCCTAGTAGGACGAATCTATGATGCTCCAACTCTTCATTTTTGTTGAAGTAATAGTGTCCGACACATATTTGGACTTAGGCATGCAAATATGATCTTCAAAGGATTGTCCAAATACATGAAACACATAAAAAAATGAAATACATTTTTTATGGGATAAATACTTATATTCAACACACAATAGATTCAGATTAACATATTGTGAAAGTAACAAAAACCGGTAATGAATTATGGCATCGAAAAAAATGAAAGCTCATTTACATGCCTACATATCATATAATATGTATTGATCCTAGATGATAAGAAAGCAGGGTGTAAATTATGCTATAAGAAGAATGCAAGTTCTTCACATTTCCACATAAAATAGCATTTATATCCCACACTGACCGAAACATAATCATTCGTAATAAAGAAGTACAACTGAGACTTACTTGAACAATGTCATCGAGTAAATTGACATCTAAGACACCAGGAATGAAGCCAGCACCGATTCCCTGGATCTTGTGTGGACCTTGAACATTAAAAATGCAGCAGTTCATCAATAGGTAGAACTTTGTTATAAAATTCAACGTTAGCATAAGGAACAAAAGGAAACAAGTTTCAGTTAACAATGCCAGAGCTAAGAGACTAAAGACAACATTAGCATGCTGGTTATTACAGGAAAATACATGGAAATCTTGAAAAAGAATATACCCCGTGATGATACTCACACCCGAGTCATAGTAACATAGATCCTATCTACTACTCAGCTAGATGTTACAGATTGTAGAAAACAATGGAATGCATTACGAAGAACGATGTGAAAAAGAAGCACTGTAACATTACAACTTACCAGGTTTTCCTCCGGAAAGCACTGCACTTTCAACTGTTTCAACACCAACGACCTAAACAAAAAAGATAAGGGGCAATATAAGCAATACAATAAGACACTGTATAAACATGATCTATTAATTGAAATCAAAATTTATTTCCTCTAATTGAGCATAAAAAATCTAACCTTAATTTCAGGATTCTGCTCTTTGAGATACTTCCCTGCTCCAGTTACAGTGCCTCCGGTCCCAATACCGGAGATAACTATATCTATCTTGCCTCCAGTGCCTTTCCATATCTCTGGTCCAGACATCCAGTTGTATCATAATGTATCTAAATCAGGAAAAAAGAATCAGATCATGACACCCTCCTAGATTCCAACCTCCTAGATTCCAACAACCAAAATATGCATGGAAAATATTTCAAAATGATACCTTTGGGTTGGCAGGGTTTTTAAATTGCTGAAGAATGTAAGAATTTGCTGAAGAATGTAAGAATTAGGCGTTTTTGCATGAATTTCTTCAGCTTTCTGAACTGCCCCTTTCATACCCCGAGCTGGATCTGTAAGAACTGGCTCAGCTCCAAAAGCTCGGAGGACCATTCTGCTGCTGGTGAAGATCAGAAAATTTAGATTAATGAATTAAACATTCAAGAAATGGCTGGCTGCAAGTAGGGGTGGGAATTGGCTAGGCCGGCCTGGTCTGTATAAAGTCTAACCTGCTGGCCTATTTAGTAAAAAGGTCGGGTTCAACCCTTTTAAAAGTCTATTTAATTAAATAGGTCAGACTTAGGCCTATTAAAAAGCCTTATAAGTCTGATAGGTTGGCCTATTTAGAGTGACTACTTTGTAAAATGTACTAAGATTAATAGGTATTTTACTCTAAAATTAATAACTAAACTAAAAATATTAAATGTTTATTGTTAAACAGGTCAGACTTTTAAACAGGTCAGGCCAAGCCTAAATAAAAGTCTTTGATAGGCCACAGGTCAGGCTCAAACATACAAAAATCATTGTAGGTCAGGCCAGGCTTCACCTAGCTGCAAGTTCCTATGCTGTCAAACGCATGCTCCACCTGCCAATGCGCGTGCCCATACCTTACACAAATCAAGGCATAAAATAATTGATAATCGAGTAGCAGGATGTGGGGCAGTGGGGTGAAAAAATTAATAAAAAATATATAAGGGTTAATTCGGTTAATTAACCGATTTCGAACCGAATTAACTGATTTCGAACCGAATTAACCGTTAATCGGATATCCAAAAATCATTAACCGTTATTTGACCGAACTAATTCGGTGGCCGACCGAATTAACCGAATTAATTCGGTTCGGTCGATTAACCGAATTAGTTCGAAAATTTGAACACCCCTAGGTGAATTGGTCATTCATGTCTTGTTCATTTTGATTTGTGAAACTTATATAGATGCCAACTTAATTTTTTTTATTTGGTATTTCTTGCAAGGCTGTTTCTTTGATTCTTGGAACTGGGTTTTTGGCGAATTTGACCATTTGATAGTGATGACTGTAATATTTTGACTGGTCTAATTCTGAACTTCATCCCTCTACTTTACAAATAATCAAAAACTTAGTCTATCTACTATAATTTGTCAAAATTTTAGCACTTGCATTATATGAAAACTGATAAATTAGTTCATTTGTCAGTAAATAGATGAACTTCGTTTTTAATTCTATTTATATAAAATGATGAACGGTTGATCTTTAGGTCAGAGATTCAATGTTAACCTCTTAGTTTTTATCAAGCACAAGGACCAAAGTTTGAAAATTTAAAATATAGGGACTTATTTTAAATTTTGTAAAATAGAAAGATGAAGTTCATAATTAAAGATTTTTAAAATTTTGTATTACCTTTCGTTTGGCACTCGGTTTGATTATTTGCTTTTTTATGAATAAAAGCGAAATGACTACCTAATTAATTCTACTAACAATCTCACTTTCTAATCTTAATATATCCTTATGCATAAGAGTTTGTACTGCTACCACAGAGCCACTTGGAATGACCTTCCAGAAAAGTCGTCCTTTTAAACCAGTTTTATTACGCAGTTAGTTAGTGGATTGACCTTTCGTCCCACCTGCTTAAATGAGATTATAAGCAGTGATTTTCGAGTTATTAATGCTTATATTAGTAGTGAAATTATGAAGGACCACCCTCAAAGAGTTGGACCACTAACTCCACTAATGAATTTTTTACTTCGACACTAAAAGCCAAGTTTATTAAATTTCATGCATTAAATCAATTATATTAAAATTTATTCTATTTGATATTATCACAATAGTTTATGTGGTTAAAGTAAATATCATTCTCCTAAGAGATCATGGGTTTAAGCAAATAGATATGTGGGTGTATGTACGTTATCGATAGTTAAAAAAGATCATGAACAAATATTATCTTATAATAATCCTAGACTACATAACCAAAATCTCATTACCAATACCAGCTTGCGGTTGTGCAAATCCCTTGTTAAATACCTTCTTCTTCTTTTTTAATCTAGCGTGATTATAAGGTAGTATATGTTCTAAAGTTTCTCAACTATTTAACAATGAAAGCTCAAATACCATTGCAGTTTCTGGTGTTTGGACTTAGGACCTATAAGAATAACAATCATCCTTTTAACCACTAAAATAACTTGATTCGTGCATCTTCCTTCTTTTATTATATATGATTTTGTATAAAAATAAATAAATGTCATGATCGATATTATTATAATATCTAATGATATGTAAATTCAAATATATTTAAATATATAATATCTTTCGAATTAAAAATCGATCAGAATCCAATTGTATCAGCATTATGCCACCCACAGTTATACAGCCTATTAATTGAATTCTTTCTCTTTTTGCTTTTGCAAATTGATTAACCATGAAGTTTATTAATTATTTTCATTATTATTATGCACCATAAATTGGCACTGATGCATTAAATTAAAATAAAATAAAATGGGCCATGAACAACCTGGAGTTTAAGTTATAAAATTCAGATTCTCCATGGTCCAAGGCTGCTTTGTTTTAGCCACAATCAAATGTCAATTTCTTAATTTTTTTTGGTCCGCTGTTAGATTTGATAAATTGAATAAAATACGAATATATCGTCAAATATGAACTAAAACACAAACAATATGAAAAAATAATACAAATATGTCAAAATTTATGAAAAAATAGTCAAATTAAAAAAATATAAATCATATAAAATCTATAAAAATAATTGGAGTTCGCATACAGATAATATGTAATTTTCATTAGAAAGTAATTATGGGGTTAGGTCCGAAATTAAGATAATAGTCCATTTTTTTCAAAAAATTAATTTCACAATATATTCCAAAATTAATTAGTAAATGATGTGAGATATTATTAAAAAGTTGTTTTGTACGTTTTCCTTGGAAAGGAGTGAAATTAAAGAGCTTTTAATTTGTGTGGTTTTAAGATAACGATTCCTTTCAAAGATAGTGAAATGGTCCTACAGCTTATTTAAATAATAATAAAAATAATAATTGTCAATTAATTTCGTAAAAT